CGGATGCTATAAGTCTGGCTTATGGTTTGTCGATCCAAACTAAGAAGAACGATAGAGCCAAAAAGGAACGAGAAGCGTCGTGATGTAAATCTTCACGCTGGTTTCGTCGCTAAATTAGGGTTTTGGAGGCGTTATGTCTAAGCTTGTTATTAGTTGCAAGGGATGTGTAGAGAGGCATACTCATTTGTTGTCTTATGCGTATAAATGACCGAGCGCCTACATCTAGGTCGTGTCCAATAAAACTAATGAGGTCAGCATCAATATAGAAGACTTACAGAACTATTTATTTCGGTGATTCGTTCATCGCTAGAATTTAATATCTAGTATTTTCAAAAATCTCGTTTAATTAGCATGTAAGTGGTGCACATAAGTGATCGATGTGTTAGTATTAGACGTTACTGTAAAAGTTTTCATTACGAACGGGTATCAGCTATAAAGCCAAAATGCTGCGGATATCAAAGAGCGAACACCCAGGAGCGCTCCACTAACGACTGTCAGAATGACTACAATTAATGAGATCCAGAAGCTAGAATACCACACATTGGACATTAACAATCCTTGGAGCAGTGCCGAAGACACAAGGAGAGCGCAAAGAAACCAATCAGTTTATACTCTATCGTGACTGGCTGCAAGCCCCCGGAGACAGTACAAGGGGCAGCTACACATGCAATTCCAGAACTCAGGGGTTTACAATGTAAAGGATGGCTTGAAAAGCTAGACCTCTTTACTATATCCTACCGCAGATTAAGTGGTGATATGGTTTTGATCCATAGAATACTAAGAAATGATTTTGAACCTCTCTCTTCCTTCCCACTAGATAGGGCTATCACTGAGAATATAGCAGGTGAGTAAAAAAGCAAAGAACAAACAAAATATCCGTGGCAAACAGATTTCCAAACCGAGTAATCAATCCTTGGAACCTGTTACCCGAAGCAGTAGCGTCCGCACCCCAAATTGACTCATTCAAGAGAAGACTAGACGCAGGAGCATACTGGAAGGGGAATAATATAGACTGTAGGTCTTCTGTCCTTACTACACAAATCTGAATGTGATATCATACTGGACACATTAGATATGGTTGAATGAACTTCATGGTGGTTTTCAGACACCAAAAGACTATGTGAATAAGCGAATACCTTAAAATTATGTCTCATGCAATCGAGCACGTGCGGCTAAAATACAGAATGCTCGCCGTTAATTTGATCGTTCAAGGTCGCAAGGACGAGCTATGTCTAGCTTGGAAATGACGCACTTTACCATTGTGTGCTTTACTTCATTTGTTCGTCTATGTGCCATAGTCTATGCTTAGAATTCTTTTTCAAGGTACAATACTTCATGTTATTCAGATTACCAAAATGTAATTCTCGACTTGGATAATATTTGCCCTCAACCTAGATCTACATATACGGTACCGTATCAAAGTGATAACTGAATAAACCTAATGAGATGGAGTATTTATTCCCTGTATCGATGCAGTGTTCATATTCGGACGCACCTAGCTCCATAATTTTTCATGAGACCCAAAAGTATCCTGAAAGGTAATTTAAATTCTTATAAATACAATATACTTGCCGAACTTTACATTTTCTTAACAACGATGAGAGTTATTTCGGACAGCATTTTTGTGCTTGAATCAAAAAACGTGCAGTTTATTATTAAAGTATGTGAATATTTCTACTCAAACGTAATCTTTTAAAATTTATCATTAGTCTTCACTTCGGTTGTAACGGTAAGTTCGGTATGTACACTGAATTTAGGCGAAAATTAGACAGATCGGCGGATATTTAGGCAAGAAGTAGGCAATTTATAGACAAAGCAACAAAAAGGGGGAAAACCGCTTTATTTCCCCCGGACAGGCGAAAAAGGCGACATTTTGGCGCGTTTTCCCCTTTATTTCTTCTTTGTTCGCCTTTATTTCCCCTTTATTGGTTGCTTGGGTAATATCTCATGTGAATTGTTTGGCCAACTAAGGTTAGCATTAATTTCCTCAAGTTACATCTCTTGTAATAGCATAAAAACATAAATTGTAGGTCTCACTTTCAGAATTACCTGCCATAAACTGTAGTTAGCATGGTATCTGATTTTTACCACCGTTTGTAGTGTCATCATTATGCAAACGGCCTCTGTAGTCTACTTGTATGGGATATAGTGAATATAGTGATATTGTTGCCAGAATCTTTTGATTTCAGGGAGCTAATCAAGGAGTTATTGTATTTGTTTTTTTATTTCTACTTGAACACATAAATATTGGTACAAAGGGGCATCAGTTACATATGCGCCACACTAAAATGGATTTGAGTTGCCTGGATTTTAATTGCAGCACGAACAGTATTTCCAGTCATTATTGTCATTTTATTTTATTTGTGTGTGGGCTATGATACTGCTCGGGTGCCCAGACTGGAGCAGGTAGTTTCTTTGGAGGATCACACCCGGAGCGTTTGACCTAAAGGTCTGATCCACAAGGCAGTGGAGCAAGGTACGGAGATGCAGTCCCATGGTAACTGGTGACCAACAATTGGTTCATACGCCATTTGTTTCCTTAGGATCCTGGAGCTCATGTGCACCATTGGTTTGGAATCAGGGTTTTCCAACTCCCCAGGGTGGATCCTTCATATCCATCAGCCCGGTTTAAACGCTGAACATTCACTTTTGTCCTCTCGATTTCGTAAACAACACCCCCGCCGCAAGAAGGCAGTGAGTAGTTTTCTGACAGTGGCTGTATACGCGTGACCGTGTGAGAGCATTTAGTGAAGGAAAGCTGACTCTCCCCACCCTCGACCGTACCAGGGCATTTGGGGGCGGTTGTGTATTTAATCTATAGCACTGACTTTTGTGAAAGGCTAGTAATACTAATCATTTTTCTAAACTAAAGTAAGTATCGCAGAATCTGAACTTGCAACATAGTAGATGAAAGTCAAATGCTTTAATCAATAGGCAACCAACTCATTAAGCGAACTAATCTCATACAATGCAAATCAGTTTTTGCTTTAAATAATCACCTGAATTAAATACTAATTCGTTGGAATATATGTTCACAACTTTGTGACTAAGAGCATTCAAAAATTGGAAGGATTATCCTTTCTATTAGAGACTATTAATAATACACGTACCGGAAAAATGCCTTTTATTATACGGATAATTTCGACTATTCATTTCACTAAGAAATTAAATATGCTACCGCATATTACTTACTTACGCCTGTTACTCTTCATGGAGGAGCATAGGCCGACCACTAGCCCTCTGCATCCAACCCTGTCGTGGGCAATCCCTTCCAGCTGTTATTCATTCTCTTCATATTTGCTTCTATTTCCTGATGTAATGTGTCCTTTGGCCTTCCTCTTCTCCTCTTCTCTTCAAGATTCCGAGTTAGGGCTTTCCTCGTGATGCAGCTTGGTGATTTCTGTAATGTATGTTCTTTCCATTTCCGTCGTCTTTTCCTAATTTCCTCAGTTGGAAGCTGTAGGCTGTTGCTGATGGTATCCGGCCAATGGAGTTCCATATGTTCTTTAATTGTAGGAATGCTTTCTTTGCTTTGTCAATCCTCGTCTTTACCTCTGCATCTGATCCTCCTTGCTCATCGATGATACTTCCCAGGTACGTGGATTCCAAATCTTTCAGAGTTTCGCCATCAAGTTTGATTTGGCTAGTGTTCTTCGTGTTGTATTTGAGGACCTTGCTTTTTCCTTTGTGTATGTTGATGCCTACTGCTTCTGAGGCTGCTACTACACTGCTTGTCTTGACCTGCATTTGTTGATGTGTATGGGATAGTCCAAATCGTCTAGTTGCATTCAACCTGTCCATTGTATTCCGTGCTCTCCTCAGATGTCGAGGTCTTCATAATCTAATCGACCACCAGAAGAAAGAGGAAGCGGGAGAGTAGACAGCCTTGTGGGACTCTGGTCCTTACTTGGAATGCGTCTATCAGCTGTCCTCCATGCATGACTTTGCACTGTAGTCCGTCGTATGAGTTCCTGATAATGTTGAAAATCTTCTCAGGTACTCGATAGTGTCGAAGTTTCCATAATGTTCTATCCACACTGTCAAACGCCTTTTCGTAATCATTGGAGTTGATGTATAGTGATGAGTTCCACTCAATTGATTGCTCTACGATGTTCCGTAGTGTCGCGATTCGGTCTGTGTACGACCGACCCTTACTGAATCCAGCCTGTTGATCTCAAAGTTGGGCTTATACTGCGTCTTTCATCCGGTCCAGCAGCACTCTGGTAAAGACTTTCCCTGGTACTGACGGTAGTGCTCAGATCTCCTTTCTTTGGAATCTTGATGCTTTCCTTGTCCTTGACCGGTCTCTTTGGTTTACTGTACTTCTCTGTTAGTTTCTTCGTTGTATCATATAGTAGTTTCACATTTCCTTCTCTTGCAGATTTTTCTGCCATCGTTGCTAGTTCTTCCACGTATCTCTGCTTGTTGGCTTTAATGCTCTTCACGTGCTTGTTTGCTTCTGTGTACTCAGCTTGTGCTTGGACTTTCTCTGCCCGTGTTCGGCTGTTGTTAATTGCTGTCTTTTTGTTTTTCCTTTCCTTGATCCTGTTCAGTGTTTCTATAGAGATCCATTCCTTATGATGATGCTTCATTAGGCCCAGAACCTCCTGACATGTTGAAGTTAATGCTTCTTTGATACCTTTCCACTTGTCGTCCATAGTAGTTTTTTATTCCTTCAGTAGATTCTGTAAGGCTTGAAACCTGTTGTTGAGAGATATCTTGAATTCGTTGAGTTTGTTAGTATCTCGAAGGAAGTCTGTATTGAACCTTTATAGTACTGTTTGTCCAGTTGTCCAGTGTTTCTTTAGCTTCAGTTTTAGGTTGGCCACGATTATGTGGTGATCTGAAGCTATATCAGCTCATCTCCTGGTCCTTACATCTTCCATTGTCCTTCGGAACTTTTTATTGATGCAATTATGATCTTTCTGGTTCTCTGTAGTGTGGTGAGATCCATGTAACTTTGTGTATACGTTTGTATGGGAATATTATGCCTTCGATGACCAATTTGTTGAATGCACATAAATTTGCAAATCTTTCCCCATTTTCGTTTCTCTTCCTTCCCAGTTCATGTCGTTCCATGATATCTTCATATCCGGTGTTGTTTACTCCGACTTTGGCGTTTAGATCTTCCATCAGAATAGTGAGTTTTTTCTTGGGCACTTCGCTATGATTGATTGCAACTTATCGTATAATTGATCTTTATCGTCGTCGTTGCTTTCATTGGTGGGTGCATAACACTGAACAACATTCATTGTAATTCCCTCCTTTGTTTTGAATGGTGCTTAGATGATTCTGGATCCGTGAGTTTAAATGGTTTAAATTATTTCTTCTGGTTAGCGTGTTTTTAGCGAGTTGGTTTGTGTGAATCTCCTAGGTCTCAACTTTTGGCCACCGTATTCAAACTATTGGAACTCGCAATAAGATGCTTCAATTTCGGCGACTACACTAAAAAGCCCAGGAAAAACCAAAATGGATAGACATATATCAAGCTAGCTCAAAGAACTACATATTATGAGGGGAACGCAAGAATAATGAAATGTTCGAAATTTAGAGGACAGTGAGTAAAGACATTATTACTACTGTCATAGATTAAAGTCTATGTCACCAAATTTGTGTTCATTGCTTCAGAGTATCGGTATCACGTAATTTACTTGATAGCCTGATGTTCAGTGCCGAATAGATTTAAGTCTTTTCAGTTTTCCCACACAACAGGTTACTTAAACAGTAAACTACTCAAGTATTTAATATGTCGAAGTCGAGTGGCAATTATTTTTGTTTTTAGAAATGTACACTTTATTTGATTTTAATATTTATCAATAGCTTTGATTTATGGTTAAATATAAGGTTTGTCTATTTGTGTTTCAGTGTATCATCACTCATCACAACGCTCTTGCTCAACATTGCAAATGAGGCTGTAACGCGGCAGTTACGCACAGTTTTTATCCGAAAAGAGGCTATTTTAAAATATGATTTCGTTCACGTTCATGGTTGCAGTAAACTCGTTACATCTAATTGGGATAATGTCCATTTCGTGTGAGTTTGTGAATTCGTTATCTCGATTGAGCAAAATTGACTGTGTTAAAAACTAAATCCTCTACAATTTTGAGAAGTTTAAGGTTGTTAGCACGAGTAGGAAATACAGTGCACTTAAATCTTCTCCAAGAAATCATTTTGTTTTCATTAACAGCTATATATTGCTCGACTGTGCAAAGCATCGTCCCTAGTGTTATTTTCATCAGTTAAGTCTGATATCTGTCTGTTATGATATCACAGGACTGCATGAGAGAGCAATATGACGCGCCAATAATCTTTTGTACCGAACAAATACCAGTGAGTACAAGTTCAATTTCTACCAGAGTTATGGTTCGGTGTTTAAATCATGCGACTCTCACCCAGTTAGTCACAGGTTCAAACTGTACCTCTTCTGTTCAGACAGTCATGTAGTATCACTAGCACTTACACATAAGGTTAAACTCGAAACTAATATAAATCCTTGTGACATATTCTAGTGGCACTATCAGAAAGTTTTTTATTTGAATTAATAAATAATACCATTATACTATTTCGTTCTTGTGTCTAATGAAGACATTTAATCACCTACAGATACCTACCTTCTGAAGATGCATTAATACATTGGTTTTCACATGTTCATATGGGGAGAGGATTTGCTGACGTTATTATTGTTGAAGGACTGGATCAGTTCGTGGAAAATGTAAGAAAAGTCATCCCAGAATAAATTTTGTTGCTTCTGTTGTGATTATATTCACTGCTAGATCGACTTTTCTGTACGTCTACAGAAACAAAGTTGGTTATGACTATTTTCATGTCATACGCGGGTCAAATCACTTGTTGTCTTCACTGGATAATATTTAGTTGAGTTTGTGTGTATGATAAGGTCTAACGTGTTCACGGGTCCATATGTTTAGTTTTTAAACTTGATCAGTTATTCTTCTATGAGTTTGATCGAATATCAAGAACTTGAGTTCGTCTTTCGTTTTGTCTTTATTGTCGGTAAATGAAACATTATTATTATTATTAGTCATTATAATGCAGAGAAAAAACAGCACAACTAGGCACTAAAATGGACTAAACAAAATCAAATCTAAGAAACAAATATACTACATACTGACGTGGTCAAATTTGATGTTATGTATTTACAAAAGACATCTTAATATTTATGAAGAAAGCGTCGGTGAGGTCATCTCTCGTTTCAGCTCTGAACCACATTTGATAACATTCTCATCCAATAAGTTGGACGATTCTTAAGATCTCACTCAAGATTTTATGAATAATCAGAACAGAATCAGCGAATAATAACCCATAATCGCTTTCCGAAGCGCAGATCTTGTAGATATGTTAAATTAAAAGGTATTTTAAAGAAGAGTTATGTAAAACTATCTGTTAAGATAATATCGAACTTCCCAATTCAAATAAATATGGGGAAAAATCAGGCGAAGTTCCAAGCGCATTTCATAAAAATTGCATCAGTAGAGGAAATGATAAGAATATTTTTCCGAAGGTATCTGTTACAAGATTTAGTGAATATTGTCGGTTTTTAGCTTCCTATAAGTCTGTTTTATTTTTGTCTAATCGAAAATCTGTTTTTATAAGATCACCAGTTAAAATCAAATGAAGAACCACTGGAAATCAAAAGAAACTCATATTTCGTCACAGTGATCCTCTATTGGTAGGAACCCATCATGTTATATGAGGTTAAACCCTTCATACCGCAATCATAATTGCTTGAAATTGGTGAGTGACGATCATCGAATAGCATTCCGAGAGTTTTTGTGGCATATTCTGGAGTTGGATACCATTCAAGCTGGCTGTCTTGTCTGCGTGGTAAGATTATTATTTGTTACGTTCGACACAGCGACTAATTCAACCTAATACTTGTCGTGATGTTATCATAACAGATATCAACCTACATAATGGCTTATAAAATATTCTTATTGCCACTTACCTGCGATAAATACGGTCTTTAAATTTGTCAGTTTCCAACAAGTCTAATAACATAATCTGCTAATTGATTAAAGTTAAGGATTGTGATCATCCTTAATCCATGTGTATTTCTTAACGTCGATCATTCATTAGTTTTAGATTGCTTACTGCTAGAGACTGAACATGTCCGACACTCTTTGTTTTCAATGGTTCTGTTCTCATTTTTAGTTCAGCGTAGAATTAATTAATCCTTCACGGGTTACTTGATTGACTAAAAGTTAATACTTTTAACAGTACTTCTTTATTCTGTGAACACGATGATAATTGCTTAACTTACCATTAAGACATAATAATATTTGTTTAAATTTACTCTCTTTTAGGATAATGACGCATCATATATCATTAGATTAACTAATCTACTAGAAGATACTCGACAATTTATCCATAGTTTTACGAAAGAGACTGAGCACGGTCATAACTGTAAACTAATAGTGTCTTCCAGTCTAAAGAGTTCTCGTACATCCAAAAAATCTGATCTTGCACAATATCATCGCGATACACTTCCAGCACATGCTATGATTAGAACGTTTTTTTTGCAGGGAGGAAGTAAGCATCTATATCTTATTATTTTTCCTAATAATTTTCGTGGAATCAAGTTGTAGTCAATTAAATTTAATGTAGAAAACTTATATCTAAGTCTGGTGATTGTTAGTTGTTTGGCTCGGTTTTTTTTCAGCAAATGATCTTGACTTAAATTACCGAATTATTGAGTATATTCATTTTGAAAAAACAAACAAAATATTTTCATTCGGTAACGAAGCAAACCGAATAGTCTAGTGATTCCTTGAAGTTCACTTGTAGGTTAAACAAGAGGTCATCTCTTGATGAGTTAGCTTGAAATATATGGTAAATTGATCTACGCTTATTTTTTGGCTTTATACATATTTTGTTGGCTTTTATAATTGTTCACTAGTTGTGTCCAATCTGACCAATAACAGTTGAATTACGTTGATAGAGTCTTAAACCACAAGAAAGTAACTAGTATTCAGTTTTTCCATTCACAGGTTAATTGTTTGTAGGTACGTATTTGTATTTATCGCATCCCATTTTACTGGTAATTAAGTAAATTTTAGAATGTTTAGCTGAAAAAATCAGTACTCAAAAAACTTATTTCGTTGTATTCCTTTAGATGGGAGTGATTTATTTGACTTGTACTCAGTTGAGGATAATTGGAAGTTGAATTTAAAAAGACAATATGATGAAGTTTTCTGGACAACAAACCAATAAATTTTCAATGGATAGACAGAAACTTGCTTGGTTGTAAATAATCATTTTTCTATTTTTAAATAGAAAGTCGTTTTTACTGACTAGCTGTTTTGAGTTACTTATTTGGTACATGAAATCTAGTTTCTGATGAATAAATCAAGATTTAATTGCTCAAAAATAAGTGTTGGCGAGAAACTGGTCAGTTAAATAACTTCTTAAGTTATTCAGTGTTACTATAGTGTACCGTGGAGATTATGCGAAATGGTTGATAGTTCGTTTTCTGATTAGTGTAGTGTTACATATGTTTTTTTCCCTATATTTCCTTCGTCTTCACTATCTCGTCACTGTAACCTCTTCAGTCTGTAACTGATCAGTATCAAGAGCCGTATCATTTAGTCGCTGATAACTGAATTTCGTTTAGCCAGTTTACAATGTTATGATCAAAGTTTTATTCAGTGTTACAGTCTATTTAATTTAATCTTAGATGGATAGAAGTTATCGGGCAGTAGCTCCATATTTTGTGCTTGTCAGTACACATGCACAGATGTTAAATGCATTTATTTACCCTCAGAAATTGCACTATCTAATTAATCAGACACCTGATTGGATGCCGGCTCAGTAATCTAAGTGTCATGTGTTCGTCGCAAAACTAAGGGTCTTGAGTTCGATCGCTTTTGGAGTCGTGACTGCGCTGATGAAGAGCTCCATACTAGGACGAAACAACTCATCAGAACTTCCTGGTTTCCAGTTGTTGACTAAGTAAGATCAGTCCTTGATGTAAATTACGAAGACACGTAATCATTAAATCAACAATACTGGATGGAGATCTGAGTTTCCTTGAAGTTATTGACACATCTTTCGATTACCTTCAATTGTCACTTGTCAATCCATTCTGCTATTCTCATGATAAGCTAATTTCGAAACAGTTACAATCAAATATGTCTTGTCAAGGTTGTATGTCAAAATGAATCCCAACATGATTACTTTACATTGGGTAGCTGGATAATCTATCCAAAACTTACTACTATATATACTCTCTGGGTTATCTTTCCACTAAACACACATGAACTTATCAGTGGTCGGTTAATAGGACTTCCTACATTGGGTCTTTTTCCTTTATCTGGTTAAAGTTAATTAAATGTAAGAAGTTTGTGTTTGTAACTTGGTTGAAACACATCAAATTGATGGAACATCCATAGGTAGCACCCTGGGCCCAATTCTGGGTGATATATTTATAGGGAACGTTAAACAGATGAAGCGTAAGCGCACAACCGAAGGAAGTACATTGTATTGTAAACATTAATGAGACATTTCATGTCTACAACAATCGGAAGCATTCCGTGTACCTACTCAATCTGTCTAACAAAACATACAACCATAGGTTTTACTATGGAACGTGAAGTGGAAGGTAAATTCCATTTCTTGGATGTTGGAATCAAGCGAACTTCAGATGACATACTTCGAAGATACATGCACTTCAAAAGTGCATGGATTAGAGTTTATCTAAATTACAACAGCTTCTGTCCAATAGGTTACAACAATTGGATTGTATGAACCGTTTCTGACTGCGCTCGTAAAACTTGCTCAAAGGAAAACCTGAAAGAAAAAATTACCTTCATTACAACCCGCCTGCGTGAAAATGCATATCCAGCAAAATTCATCGAAAAGTATGCAAAAACCAACGGACGTATCAAATAAGTACAGTAGGAAAGAAAACCTGTTTTTCATATCTGCGTTTCAAAGGAAATGAAATTACTGAAATGATGAAACTTAGGATAGATGCTGCGATGAACGTTGCTTATCCATCGGCAGGACCGACGAAGTTATATGAAATGAACTGCCCACTCAAACATACAAAGATTGACAGGTCCACTTTTCTCAGTACTTCCAAATGAATTTAACAGTATACATGTACGTCTCAAAGTGCATGCATCGGAAGAACAAAGAAAATAGTATAGGTTCACACTTTCTATCACGTTTCAGGGCATTCGAGACTGATAGTCACTATGGCTTCATATTGTGCAATAGCTCGGCATTTGATTGATACTGAGCACACCACTGACAGTACACAATCCTCTATAATTATCAGTGGACAAAAAGCACCGCGTCTCCGGTTTACTGAAGCAGCAACAATAAAGAAACTCGAACCTTGGTAAATTACTATTGTCATTATTATTATCAGTACTTTAATAGTGCTTATTTTATTATGTGGTCTTGGCCAAACTAATTCTTATTTTATGTACAACTAAATCATCCTTTTATTCATCGATTTTTTATTCACTTAATTCTCAAAAATTATGTAAACTCTTCAAATTCTTGTTAATTGCTACGTAACCCATCTTATCAGTTTCTAATTCTAGACAATTACCGTTGATGATACGACTGATGTATTTCGTACTGAAATCAAGAATGAATGCATGATGGCAAAAGTCAGGAAGCTCTTATCAGATAGTTTTCAGTCAGTGATACAGATAAAAGAGCGCATGAATCCACACCAAATGGTATCCAATTGAATCCATACAAAACGGTAGTTGGATGTCAACAGCATATAATAACTACCCATACTCCGAAACGTATCCAGTTATAATTCAGTAGGGGAAAGCCATATGCTGTAAACTACTCAGTCACAATTAGTTCTCAGTGTCGTGGAAGAACCATTAGTTTTACAACATTATGGTTTTTATTGCTTGGAAATAGAGAAACGTACTAGGTTATGTGAAGTTTAGGAAGGCAAACTTTAGGAATGCTGACACATTAAAAGTACTGCAGAAAAACTCCATAGATTACAGCTTCCCTAGTATATTTGTAAATACACGAGTTACATGAATGTAGTAAACTTCATCTACTTCAATGAATAAATTCAGAACTTTAAAAAAGCTAAACAGTCTGACTTGAATTTACAGAGTAGAACTGTGATTTTTTAAATTTGCGGAAATTAGGATGTATTCCACATTACGTTTGCATTTACCTAGCATATGAAGTTAACCAATACTAGGACTGGAAGATAGCTGTTAATAAGTTTGATTTATGAAAAGAACCTTGCCACCACATTTTCTATAAGATTTGAAAGAAATTGATAAAAATATTCAAGTTAAACTTCCTTTTAATTTGAAAGTATAAAACATCCGTTAGAATCTGCAGAATTGACGCATACTAAAACTCGTTAATTTTAGTATAAAGTCAATTGTGTAGTTGGTCGAATGTATTCCCTGCTGAAGTTTATCGTAGCTTAATGTTTTTCTCGCTAACAACCTTGTTGATTGTTTTCGTCAAAATGTATCCCTTAAAACTTTGTGAAAAATCAGTAATTCCAATATTGGAGACATGTAGCATTTATTTTCGTCACCTGTGTGGTAATAAGAGGTTGGTTGGAATTCTAAAAATACTTATTTCATTATTTGTAGTCTGGGTAACATTTGTAAATTTTTCATAATGTTGAAGCCACTCAGCTTTCAGTCGCTGAGTCAGATGTTCGAACTGCTCTCTATCTACATAGGTTTGGACAATTGGAAAGTAAATACACTGCCTCTCACAAAACCAGTGTTGTACGAAGCTGAGTGTATGAATCTTATCCATAACATTAATTGGGAACTAAGCAGGTACTCTTTTTCAGGCGATTCTGACTGATAGTTTGTTGGTGCTCGTTATCTGTAAAAGACTTTTTAAGAAATTGCTCGTCAAACATATTACCTACCACAGATTTGAAGTCTACATTACTGTAGTACATCTGTTTGCTTTTCTGAAGCTATGAAACATAGCACTTATTGGTAAACGTGCAAGAAACTGATGTTAAGAGTTTGATAATATTAACGGTTACATTCGGCGATTGTAACCACACAGATAGTTTAAGTCCAGGATCGCTAGTAAATTAATGATTCTAAACGTCAAACACTTTGCTTGAACAAAATAAGAAAACATAACATGCGTATGTAAATGTATAACGTGTCGTGGAACTTGTGGTCCGATTGTGTTTCTTTCGATATTCTTTCAATATAAAGGTTCGTTTAAAAATTCACTGATGTCAGCTAGATTACTATTGAAAGTCCAGTGCTGAAAAACTGTTCCATCGTAGAATCTATTACATTAGCAATGCTTATTCAGGGTTAAATCCAGGATTTCCAGTTCTCACAGTTTGTAAGATATTACTCAGTCGCTTAATACAGGGGTCAGCTTTTGCAACCTCAGCATTTAGCAACGGAACACAGTCATCACCGAATATCATCGATGTGCACACAACTTCCTTTAAATTTATTAGACTTTAGGGAGGGAGATTACCGGCCTAAGCTTTGTCAAACTCATTTCAAAACAAGCCTATAACGAGGTGGATTACTTTTGAATAAGGCTTCGATAAAAATAAATTTTATCAAGTATATTTTCAATCGCAGTCTAAGATCAGCTAAAAATCAATAAAGACCTGAATATGAAACAAAACAGCAAATATATGGTCCTATATACTTTCAATGGCGATTCGTAATGAGAATGATTTGAAAGTGGTAAGTAACTTTATGTTTTCCAGTACACAAAACAATACAAATTATTTTTAGACGCAAGATCTATTTACCATAAACCCTATTCGATAATTAGACTAAAAGAAACAGTACAGAACAGAAGGCAGTTTGTATTATAATGAAAGACGTTTTTTTGTTTCTAACTCTTGTTTTTTGTTTTTTTTTACAGTTTATAGAAATATTGCATAAGCTGAATTCAATGTGAAGAATAAGCCTGTCTGTTATTTGTACATACATTTATTCATACAGGAACACAATAGTGATTTGTGTAGTTTGTTTAAAAATGAAGTGCGAATCAAAAGATTTTAAAATATAAGATACATATCATTTTCAATTAATTAGTTATTTCCATTTTCAATCTAATAAATAGTTTGCTTTTTTTTTCATCTGTAAACAAAATGAAATAGAATGAAATCATAAGGAAACTTATAAATTAATCACTTTATCTGAACTTTGGTAATGTTAAATAATAGAATTGATTAAAATGAAGTCAGAGCGCGAAATAAGAAACAGGGAAGATAAACATAGAAGCAAACAAAACTTAAGAATATTCATATATAATCTATTATTGAATATTATACAAGGAAGGAAATGGTTTATTTCTTACTATTTAACTTTCTTGAAAGAAGCAAATTAAAATAATTGTTGTATCATGATGATGATGATGATGATGGTGATTAATAACTTGTGCTTTCAGAAATGTTTTCCAGACAGTTTTTACAAGAAATAAATTGATTAGTTGTATCTGTATTAAAAAAATGTTTTGATATGTAGCCAAGTTTTATGTGTATAGTAATTTTAGGAAAAGTATTATAAATTGACTTAGTAAATTGAACGTATATCTGCTAATTTTTATTATTATATAGTTAGGATATTTCTTTGTTAAGCAATCATCTCCCGTTGATTAGGCAATACTGGTTGTGCTGTTACTGATCTTTCAGTTAATAAACCATATTCTGAATAAGAAGTTTCTTTATCATCAATTGTATTCCTATTTAAGTATGTTTCAGTTGAATTATCAATTTCAACTAAATGAACTTGACCTTGTGTTTCGTAAGTATAAGTTGACATCGGATCATTTAAATCATATTTAGATGAGTCGAACTCTTCACCCCAACCAACATTTTCGTATACACTAAACGATTGCGAAGTAGAGTATCCTCGTGTCTGTAATAAATTTATAGAAATACGAAGATGTAAATCATTGTTCAAAGTCATAAAGATAATTAAAATATTTTTGCTATAAGGAATGTATATACTTTTGAATTTGAATGAAATTTATTACCACTGGACATGTACTTTGATCTATAAATCTTGTTTTGACATTTCTAATTATATTATCCTATGGATCTGTGCAATTCGTTCATTTAAACGCTAGGTTTGCAACATTCGGGTGACAGAGTTAAAGTTAATTTTATCAAATCAAATTCAATAAGCTAGGGAACAATCGAATTTTATACAGTCGATAAACCAAACTGAATGAATTCTACAACTTGTAAACGCTCATAATTATTGTATGTGCACTACAACAAACATGAAATCTAGTGTTACTGGTTTACATTTGTATAAATCCTCGCTAGATTAAACAAAATAACTTAGTGTAATAATTTAGTAAATGAAGTGGTTTGAGTAAAAGACTATAGTTTTGTAGTAATAAACTCTACATGTATTGATATTTTTGACCACTTAAATACAGTTGTCACTGCATTTATGTTTGAATAGAGTTTGTGGCGAAAATCGATAAAAAGAAGTTATGTGAAAATTTCAGTTTCTTTGGGATATTCAGTTTACAATGCCTTATTGATATTTCTTACATTGTACAAGGTCTATACTAGCTGAAAAATATCGGTGTTTAAATATGAGTTCAGCAGTGTTTATTGATTAATTGGCACTACTCAAGAGTGAACTCATTTCATTTTAAAATATTTTCTGCATTCTATGATCATAATAACAGTCTGATAAAAAAGTGTTTGCAATACATGAATGAATTTCATAAAAATTGACGAGGTTAACTATAAAAATCAGATTTATCCCTTGCAATACAGAAAATTACTACAAAGAGAGTTAAACTAAGTAGGTACTCAGTCGCGACTTGTGGAGATAAATCATAATCATAATGAAACAGTTACCCACCAGAGAGAATAAATGATGTCCACACTACATCTCAACTTGACTGGAGTTGGTAATGTGGAAAACTTGACCCTAATATGTTCATTACATTCTTTGTGAAGCCCGAAGTTTCTAGGTTCAAACTCAGGCTGAATATTATGTGGGTACTGATAATAAATCGGATATTAGGACAAAACTACTCTATACTTTGTAGAACGTACTTAGCTAATACCAATCGTTAATGAAAACAAGCTGTGTTATAAGTCATATTTCCCTTTACCTTAAAAAACAGCAAATCAGTGCTCAACAGAACGATTGTATAAGTGCAAGAGTGGGGGGGTGTAAACTTTATCTTCACTACTCTTTGGAGCGAGAGAGTGAAACACACTAGAAACTATCAGTTCGTAAAAACACAGCTTTGTAAATTATATTAAGAACATGCTTCATCGAATAAATAATATCATTTGTACAACACTCAAAAAATAGGAAACCATAACCATTGTGAAGGAATATTTAAATTCTTCACATCAAGAAATGCAATAGTGGATAAGTTGAGCAATTAAAAGGAAGTTATGAAATGATTGGAAACTAATAAGCTTCGATAAAAGTTAACTTTTCCCAGTTCTAAAAACTGTATAGAAAGATTCATTTTACTACTAAAAAATCTATTAATAAGTGTACTTGGTATAGTTCAACAGTGGATAAGTAAGAAACTTTCGGCGAATTTCTCTTTTCTCCATGGTATTCGATGATGAATATAGGTGTATTTAGATAGGAATTTACGTGGTGTTGCATATGCATTGTTTTCAATAAAGACACTGATTAATTTGAATTGATCTAATTCAACTTTCCAAGCGGTAAAATATAAAGAGTGGATATTTGAAAAAATTTCCGAAAATTGCAAACTATAAGGGTCCATTATCTTCATAATCTATTTACTATTGTACGTGTAGTTTCCCTTCTTTGATTTGCTATACATGTTATTCCGTTAATTCGTGGTTAAATAATTGTTTGTGAGAACTAGTTAAGTTTGGAAATAGTTATGGCCACTAAATGGTGTCTATTAGAAAGTTGCTAAAAAACAGGGGATAATTTTTGTAGTAGTCTAGAACATCCCAGGAGTTGGAGTTAACAACTCATAGAAAAATTGAATACTGGCTCTTCTGTTCTTACAGCCATCAAGCTATATCTGAAATCATTGGGTTGTTATTTAATTTAACATACCTCGGACTTCATCAGAGTTAAACTGATCATTCCAACTCATCCCACTGAGCAATAGTCATAAGCTCACTATTAACTAGTTTTTCAATCAGTTCCTGAGTTTTTAGTAGGAAGTCGTGATTGTTGGGATTTACCAATATAAACTATTGAAACCGTTATCACCAAGTGCATTGCATCGTCTGCCCTACAGCTAGTTGAAAATTTGTACCAGTGCATTCATCTCAGTGGCCAATATATATATGTCCACCGCGAGAACTGAAGTATCTGGACCCTTTTGTATGCATATTCTACGACATTAAATAATTAACCAATAATCTCTTTCTCCATATATATATATATGTATATATATAGTGGTATAGTATGGGGTGCTTGGAAACAATATTTTTAGTGCAGCAGTACAAAACAAATTTACCAAACAACAAAAATCGCACAACACTTTCCCACAAGACATAAAAACCCTTACTTTCGTTTAAAATATTTTGAGTACCCTGGGATAAAACGTCCAAAACATTAAAAATGTACTGAATAACAAGTGAAAAACAATAGTTTTTTTAAACTGCCATCAAACAGGTTAAAACCTACTAATCTCTGGATAGGAGTTTACCGTTTTTGTGAAATAGTTTCATTGATGATGCATATGTAAGTCAGTTTGTGTTATTATTGTTGCGGTAACAAAGTGAAATCTATTCCTTAAATTCAACTAAATACTTTTCTTAACGCAGCAACGAAAGGAAAAACAAACAAGTATTCGGATAAATCATAAAAAGGCCACAAATAAACTGCATGAAAGTGCTCGCTTCTTGTTTATGATAAAGTATATAATTACATTTTATTGCCAGGTGTATGCTTAGGTATATGCAATTTAAATAGCAATTAAATATAAACTTGCTTCTATGGTTATTAAAGCGAATAAAAGAGGTAATATAACGAAGGTTTCATGGAATGTTTTATATGGGAACTATACTTCAAAAGATATTGATGACAAAACATTAAATTAGATAACATTGACAATATTAACAATGACAGTGAAAGACAAGTACAGTTTCTTTCTGGGTCAATGGTTGCTAATTAGGATGATACGGCTGTCCGGTACTTCCTGGTTCTCAATAATTAACCAACAAAAGTTTTTTTGTGATGAAGCTTTATTTGCATCAAGGGAAGAATCTGGTTATTTCCATATTTTACACTTTAACACTCTACCATATTCTTGGAAAATTGATAGCTCAGAAAACAAATAATATATGTCGTTAAACCTATTAAGAAATTAGTTATGTAGGAATAGAGATGACCGTTCGCTGCCCGGGTAGCCCAGTAACAACGTTTTTGACTGTTACGTTGTGTAACGCTAGTTAGAATGTCCCATGTAATCATAAGTTTCATCAAGAGTACCGGTAAGTCTTTCTGAGATGATTGCCGAACGGAACAAAATTTCCACTTTGAGTTTCCCTTTGACTATATTTAACTATTTAACATTTCATCATAGTGTGTGAAATGTGTCTCGTACTTGTGACCAAGTTACAACTTGGTCGATAGAATTAGATCGGCAATAAAAGACTAAACAAACAAGACACTGGTCACTACTCAGTAACTCTTAATATACTAACTCAGTCCTTTATTTCCCTCAATTATTTCAAGTCTTCTATTTACCTTCAACCTTTAAAGTTGTATCAATCGTATGATCTGTCAGTCATTCGTAAAATGACTACATAGACTCAAATATATTTAAATATTTAATAAATTTGGGTATTATTTATTGATTCTGGTTAGCGTTTCCTAGCAAGGCTATTTTCTACGGGGTGAAGTTGCTGACCCTATGCCAAACCCCCCTCCTTTGTGTGGGCTTGCGACTGGCAGTAACCCTAGAGGAGCTACAGGCGGAAATCACCAAACTACATCACGAGGCAAGCCCTAACTTAGAATCCTAAAAGGAACAGGAAAAGAAAAAGACCAAGAAACACACTGCGTCGAGAATTGGAATCAGATATCAATAAGATGGATAACAAGTTGAAACGTCTGGAAAGGATCGCCTAGAACGGAGTTGATTAAAAAATGTTGGTGGGCAACCGATGTTCCTCTTCGAGGGGTAACAGGCATAGGTAAGTCAGTAAGTAATTGTTCACTGAGTGTATGTTAGGTATTGAATGCAGACATTAAGCGAGATTATACGGTATCTAACTATTTTATTCTCACTTAAGGTTAATATTCATTTCAAATTAACTGAATGTTTTATTTTACTAGTTAAATATCCAATTTAGTGATAAAACAATCAGTTTAAAGTTATACTTGAATAATATTAATTTATCAAAACTTGAGTTGTTGGATGATCTCATGGATAATTTGTTTCAGTCTTCATCTTAGAAATAATGAGATAATTCGTAGATCTTCAATATTCAATTACATATTTACCTGTCCTGGTGCTAGATTAACAAAACTAGCATATGGTGTAACATTGTTCACATCAGTTTCATTGTTTGGATTATTACTATCATTATTATTCCTATTCATCATTGCACGACTACTTTCGCAAACCATATTATTTCGATTAATTCGATTAGACAAACATGTTCTCGGTGGCAATCGTTCAGCTTGGTAATTTTCTTTTTCTCTGTAAAGTAATTAAATAAAGGATTTATGTATTTTTGTTACCAGATTATTATGTTGTTGACTCTGCTTTCTTGTTGGATATACGATGCAAGTAAATAAAGCAATCCGAGTTGTGGTTGAATTCAAGCCCGTAGGTTATTGAGTTTTTGCACTAACAACAGAGTCACGGAACTCACCTTTTAAGCATACCTCAATTAAAAGTATACAATAGTTGAAATCATGAGTCAATTGAAGCTAGACCACTATAGAAAACCTGGAAGTACTGGACGGCCGTTTCGTCCTAGTATGGGACTCCTCAGCAGTGCGCATCCACTCATGATTCCAACTACTGAAATTACTAGAAAATTTCCACGAAACTTCTTCTGATAAAAGTATAAAACTAATGGAACTTAACCTTAATGGAAAGTGGAGTCTAATGGTACTGTTTCGACCAAAGTAAATCACATTATACATAGATTTAGTTTAGTTACTTCACTGAGGTTTCAAGAACAACCTTACAATTGACAATTTCTGCTTAAAAACCATGGGATAAAATATTTCTTAGCCTAGTAAATGAAGCATAATAATGCTACTAATAATGGCAATATTAATAATAAGTTTACTAAAAGACGGAAATAGTATTTTATACCGCAAATCAGCCGGGTAGAAAACAATGTCGTTACTCGCAGTCCTATATTGGTTTTTTAAAAATTATAATACTTTTCTAATTAATTACTTATAAAGAGACAATGTTTCATATTCACCGACTGTAATGTCAATTTTTTTTATTTACTTAACTCTAATGAACGATGTTTGACCGAATTACATGGAATCTGTGTACATTTTAGGTTTTCAGTAGATGAATAGTAGCATTAGGATACTTTTTGTCACATATGTCCTCCTGGAAGCAATATTTCCGTCAATTAACCCTTCAGGGGTCAACCTCTCACAAGGAGGTTTGGTTATTGACTTGGAACGCACAGATGACATAATCCCATTTGGTGAAGACGCTGACAGAATTCAGTCTTTTGATTTTCTTGAGTAACAGTGATGCCATGGCTGATATTGCATTTCTTTCTCTCCAAATGCGTAATGTTACATCAGGACATCAACATCGGAATTATTGGTAAAATTTGAATTGATCGAGTGCGTTGAACACCACATTTATCCTTAAAGTTTCGTAATTTCGGGTAGGTTAGTGTCTAAAGAAATTTTGACATGGATTGGAAAATCTCACGGTTTTTGTCAAAATAAGTCGCTTGTGACGTAGGTAAGAAGTCCATCAGTCAATTAAAAGGCATGCATACTGCGCTGCAGTTCATTCTATATTATTTTCGTGCCCTTAAAACATAGATTTTGAAAGCAGGCTGCTTATTTTTGATCATAGATTTCTTTAAAAAATTAGTTGAACATTGTGGAATGATAGTCAGATGATACTATGAAATTGTATTTGATTTGTAGATATTCCAAACATTATGGTTTAGAGAAGCAACTCCGTATTTGAATTCATACTTGATTTAGTGAATAATTATTAAAGATGTAGGAAATAACGGGTGTTTCTGATTTTGTTTCGAATGTCTCGGTTTATCGATACTTATTCAATTATAACTCGATTGAATATTGTCACTAATAAATCTTCCATTTATCTACGCATAAATATTTTGGAATTATAATTATAGCTAATGAACTTTGCAGATATATTATTTGGAAAGATCTGCTGCTGAATACGTTGATTATAACTTGTCGTTATACAGTTTTAGCGTAGGCGTTGACTTTTGGTTCAGTGAGTGACTCATTGGCTCGTTGTAATTCATATTTACGCCCACGCTAATATTTCTTTACGAAAAATATTAGAACTTTAGTCAGAATTATTTTATAGACTTCGGTTGCTGCTTATTTGTACTATATCCATTGTTAATCAACAGATCACAACTACTTTACCTAAGTGATTTCGTGGGTTGCATTTAGTCTTTCATTAAAAAGTATGTTCACAACAATGTCTTTATAAAATTATTTAGGTCTTCACTTAGTAGGCAAAACCCATTACCTCAGTAAACAGTAATGTAACTGAGATTATGTGATAGTTTGGGAAAATCTTTAAGTAAAATCCAAATTATTACTGTATTAATTTAAATTGAATAGCTTAATTTTAAAATAGATATTTTTCGAATTACTAAAATCAGTGTCCACATTACAAAATATGGATTTACGGTGACTATATAACGGTGACTATTTTTCATTTCCAACGCCATTATCTTGTTAACAATCACATCGTGTGATTATTTTTTCTGCATTAACACTATATAACCAGCTTAAATATCTCAAACAAGTTACTTCTGTAAAACTGACGTTTTGTTAATGCACTTTAAAAGATGAAAATGGATTCGTTTATGTACCCGTCTATTTCTTTTGCACACAGGTCTATCAGTCTTTAAAAATTCAGGTTGTTGACTCATGACGAGTTTCCCAATGAAAAAACTGACAGCTGATAGTAGATGACTTACTAAGATTACAAGTGTTTACTCAGTGATGAAGAGATTTTCATATTGCGAGAAAAGTATCGGATAAAAATAATAAACCAGTGGATGGTTCTGAGAAATTAAATTTGGATAGCCATTGTTTGCTTTATTGTTTTTGTGCTCATCAACATTAAAATCACTAAAAATGTTTTAAACACGGTTCAAAAAGGCTAATGTAATCGCTGAGTTCTGGTATGGATAGTGAAAGGGTAGATAAGCTTCCGAAACAAGATATGACTAATAACTGTAATCCAAGGTATAATCACTGATTAAAATAACTCAGTCATTGATAAACTTATTCACTGGCAATCCTTTTTAAAACTTTGAATATAAATATATATTCGACCCATATCTTTCGTTTCTTTTCATTCTTTTTCTTTCTAGATTTCTGTCGATTTAAGGATCTGTATTCAAGTTAATTAGCTTTCTTCATTTTGTTTTTTTCTCGCTTGGCTGATGTGAATAGTAATGGCCAAGATAAAATACGAGTTTCTGTAAGATCCTATTTTGTTTATATACATCTCTTGGGTGAATTTAAAGTTATTTCTTGTGTATATATTCTTCAGACAACCAAAAAGAAGAATAACTCTTAGATTATTTGAAATGACTATTTTACAGGGACTTTTTTATCCATTATTATGAAGGATGAATATAGAACTTCAGGTAGAAGCAGTTTGTGCTGATGATGTCGGTCAGAAGTATGATGAAGGTTCCACAACCAAACCATCCAGCTCAGAGAACAAAACCCTGTCAAAATCATCCACCTGAGCTACAAACCTCCACTATATATAACATGATAACAAAGAAAAGATTGAGTTTATCTGAACAGACAAGAGTGCTTTTTTATCATCTGTCAATTTAGAACACTTTGTTTATTAGTTGACGATAACTGAATTAGAGATACTCTACAATAAACAATAACTGCATCACAACAAACATTTACTCATTTTTTTTTTAATTAAATAAGGAAATAAACCAGAAATAAATTCTTGGGCGTGACGCTTAACTAAGAACATAACTGTGTGTGGAATTTATTAGTCAAAGACCATTTAATCAATAAAATTTGTAATCAGCCAGTCCTGCATTAAATGGTAAATTGAAACAGTTAATAAATTCACAGGAAAATACTCTAATATTTTTTTATTTTTTATTACAATAAGAATTAACTAGATATAGTAATTCCGGTCGTATTGATGACTTAAAATATGTCAAAAAGTAATCGTGAGTTTGTTTAAACTAATATTCAGATATGATTTCAATTAGGCGAATAGTAGCTGTTATTGTACAGTACCGAGACAACTTGATTATTTCAATCTAATAAGAGCAAACGATGAGTGAATTTCGCATTAGAAGGTGGATTGTTAGAGTTTATCTTGTCGATTTCAATAGGTTGAAATCCTCGCTTTAGCTTGTTTAAGATTTAAAAAACACCGACATCTGGTTATTTAGACAATCAATTAAAAACCATCTTTATAAAAGACATTTTCTCGAAGTATCACTACTTCATTCAATATTCTGATTTTTTTATATTGTTTACTGCCTTTTTGTTACTGAACAATGTAGTAACTGGGATAATTCTTTTACAAGACTTTTAATGTTTAATTTTCATCGACAAGTCAGTAAAATTTGGTAGGTAAACACCTCACTCTTTACGCTATTCGAATATTTCAATGTAATCGAAAAATTCCTGTTGTTTAGTGTTAGACTATTTTTTTCTAATTTAATTAGTTGTCTTTCAGTAATGAGTAGTATCATGCTATTCAACTAAAAAACGTTGGCAGAGTATTAAAAGATTTTCGATTAAGATTTCGGTGCTTTTCTTTGAGCTTCATACTTACTATCAAAAACAGATTTATTATTTTGTTGTATTAACATTTTATGATTAGGAATAATAAGTCTGAGAAAAATATATTTGATCTTTAGACGCAGGATTATTCAGTAAATGTAATGGATTACCGCTTCTATACCTTTAAATACTTAGGATAAAATTTATACAAGAATTGAATTGGTACAGATTACTTTGAAGAAGTTTTATAAGTACACCATGCCATTCTCCAGAAAAAAGCTGCATATAAACAAAATTTCCTTCATTTTATCGTCTTGAATTGACTAGATACTACTGAAAATCTTTGCTATTTCAGTCAAAGAGTAGAGATATATCTGAAATATTCCTATTTATTTCGAACTTAACATGTTGAAAAATGGAATTTATGAAAATTCAGGCTAACAAGTTGAATTCTGCTAATATCTATTTCTCTGAAGTTTAGACACAGGTCGATTACCAATGATAAACTATGCCAACCTTAGCAATTTCAACATGTTTACTTACGAACTTTTCATATCATTCATCCTAAAGAACCTTTATCTGACTTTCCATATTCTCCCTTACCTATTGCTACTTTTATTATAGATGATTAGGTCAGGTTAACGTAAATTTATATAAAAGTAATTTAAACCTTCACTCTACTTTTACCCCCAATAAATATGAAATGTCAAATCCAAAATTGCATACAAGGTTGATTATTTTTAGATTTACAGCAGAATTAAAAGTTTGTTTTCAGTATTTATGAAGACGATTATTACTTTAGGAAGATATATATATATATATATACATATACATATATATATATATATATATATATATATATATCAGTTTCATAAAGCGCAGGATACAAATTGCTATGGGTATGCAGATAATTTTCATTGCAACATGCAATAATCTCTTATTATTTTTTATCAAATGTTTATCAGTAAGTGAACTTTTATCACATCAGACTAATAAAATATTTTCTAAGAATTCGGACTTACCTTCGTTTTTTTCGTGCGCTGAAATAAAAACAATATTGAAATTAAAAGGTATTTAGCATTTCAATTGGCCTTATATGTAAATGCATTTAAATAGTGTGATAATAAAAATAATGGTCACTTTAAATCTTCTGCTTATCTATTTTTCAGCTATTCAAATATTGTGACGGATCTTCTTATTTTCAATACTGCCTTTATCATTTAGTAATGCCCATTCAAAACATTATTTATTCATCTGATTTTATAAAGCGTTTGCACTCTACCACCATGGTGTTTTATTATATGCAGTAAGTGAACATATGGCAGTTGTTTTTATTCTTTTACTCTTCCATAAAATGTGGAGTAAACACATTAAAATAAGTACACATTAAAGGATACATAAAAGCTTCATAATGATATTTTTAAAAACATATATTATGCAATATAAAATGAATCTTGATTAGAATCAATCTAGACTGTTAGCAACCAGAATACTAGTAAATTCCATCTCTTATTTTTAATTGAAATTTAGTTTTCGCGAAGTCTACTGAAATCAAATTCTGGTATTTTGATTTGAGAAGCTTTTTGATTTAATTCGAAAATAAAAGTCTAAATAAGTAATATTCAGGAAATTACTTACATCAGACATGATTACCAATTTTATGAATGAGTAAAAAAAATAAATATACATAGTCATCTAGTCGAACTTGACAGAAGGATCTACACTAACTATGATATTATGAATTTTAGTCAGTCGAGTAAAAGATGCTTATTTTTTTTCTATTTTTAGGACTTATCAACACTTGGAATATCAAAGGCGGTCGTTTTAAGAGACTATATGTTACCATATATTATAATCGGTCTACTTAAAATATATTAGTGAGGTAAAAACAGAAACAAAATACGCCAAAAATTATATCTCGTTTGTTTCTACTGTTAAGTTCTCACATGCTATAATGCTACGTGACAGAAATGACAACGTATGGTTGCAGATTATACATATGGTGGTATCAACAACTTATTACTTCAGGAACACTGTCATTTTCTCACATTATCAATTTGATATTATTAAAAGATATTTCTGTACTTGCAACATTATTCAAATAATGTATTAAAAATCAGTATAACTAACTGAATAACGATTTCAACTCCACTCTTCATAACAGTTTACAATTCCTGAGTATACATCTCATTGTTATTTACACAGAATTCGCGTACAAACGAGACTGAAATAGAGTCATTTTAGTTCCATTTTAAATCGAGGAAAAATAACTTGAAGCATAGGCGAAAAACTAGGTTCTTCATTTCATTTGACATGGAGTTTCATGAGGCAGATAAATTTGAAAGTAAATTATTTATTTATTTATTATTATAAGCTTTATTCAATATTATATTTTTGGTACAATAAAGAATTCTCAACACAAAGTATTTCAACAAGTTTCCGTTTCTTTCTTCTTGGGCTGTCCTGGCGATAAATATTGAGTGATCGCCAGTTAGATGTTAGTCGTCCAGTAAATGAACATCTGAATAAGGTATATTCTTTTCTCTGCATATTGCCAGTGACCACACTATCTCTTATTGGGCTTTTTGTAACTTTGACAACGAAAGGTTGTACACTTTTCAGAAATGCATCAGGATAGGTTATGCGATTAATATGCATAATGATATATTAAAACAAACAAGAATAGATAACTTGTTGAAATGTCTAGATGGCAGGAACAGGTAGCACAGATGCTCAAGCAGGCCGCAATCAAATTGTTAATTATTTTTTTACTCCATACTTAACTATAAAACTTTCGTAAGTTGTATGAAAATACCATTGTGTTATGATTATGAATAGTTTACTTCTTACGTCGGTGTAACTTTTTCAAGTTAAATGCTCTATTAAATACATAGAACTTTTTCGCACTTAAATAAAAGAGATACTTTAGTTTACTTTCATTACTTAACAATACTGGAAATCAACATTCTGTATAATTTTATAGGAAAATAACTTTGTATTGACTTAAAGAATAATTTTTTGTGGAGACTAATTTTGATTTTATTGACCTGGAACACTGAGATCAAAAATATATTTCACCAGCAGATATTATTGCCTTCAGGTAAAATTTGGAATTACTATCATTCCATTGATCGCCAATGGTCCTTCTTATATTATAAGTCAATATTTCACTAAATATATTAATTCATTCACTATATAACAATTCATGTTTTACGTGTTCATACTTCCCACCAATTTTGAACTGAAATGATCTTTTGGGTAGTCCAAAAAAACCACAATGGAGTCAGAAATTATTAATCTCTGTGCAATAACTAACTTCCTGAACCACTCGAAAATAAAAAAAGATTGCCTTTCATGTAACCGATATATTTTTTACAACAGCTAGAAGCTGGTATAGGGTATATTATGACCAGATTCTATTAGTTTAGACTTATTGAGCCGTCAGTTTATTGCATGACAACGCTGCTACACAGATAATTGTATTAGTCCACAATGTCAAATTCACATTATGACATGAATACACTCACACCATGAAGATAAAAGGTTTTATTTCAATGTAATATCTATAAAGTTTCTACACATACCATCCAGATTAGTAACTGATAGCATGCAATCTAATTAGACGATAGAGTAGTCCTAAATTCTAGTTTATGTCATTTAACTACTAAAAATCAGATAGGATTAACAATATAAAAAAATTCAAAATCGACTAAATAAATTTTGTTTTTCAGATCAAAGGACAATATTTTAGCAAAAAAAAATAGTCAGAATTAAGTAGATGTTATATGGAGCCAGAAGTTTATACTATTTAACTTAATCAAAATTCTAATAGATGCATAAATTAAATTCAAAATGTCTTTAGAAAAACCAGCTCAAACAAATTTCACACTGATTGTATGATTGAAATTGTGCATTTTCAGTGTTTAATAATTTGATAAACAAAATTCTATAATAATGTACGATTCACTGAATATTTTATATTCAGCAAAATTCTCAATGTTCAATATTGAATTTTTCAATTTTCCATAAGAAAATCTTTGTTTTTATGAAGACTTCATATAGTTTGGCGGTTAATTTTAATCATTTAGAAAAATCAATAAAATATATTGAATTATTACCAATGGAAAATGGGTTGTATTTTATTAATAATTTAAGCTGATTGATGGAACTGATTATAATAAATATTAGTTATGGTTTATTGGTGAAACAATATGCGCTTGGAAATCTTTTGATCGATATATTCCAAAAACTATTATAGATATTTTCTGAAATTTCACTTGTACTACCCAACAGTTTAGTTTAAGCTTAAAATTAATGTTCAATTATGAAGGTAGTAGTCAGTAATTTAAAAATTCCCACAGAGTATCCGAGAACAAAGAAAATTATAATCTGGAGCCAACGATCGTCTACGTAAAACGTTTACATCAGGCACAATAGTTATAAATCCAAAATTATCATATTTTTATGTCAAATAAAATATTAAAGTTGAATTAATCCATGTTATAAATAGAAAATGGCGAATTCTATGCCATTCGAGTCTTAACTAATACAAATTACTGACAAAATGAAATAACATCATTGATAGTATTGAAAAAAGGTCATGAATAAAAGTCAAGAGAAAATATATGCCTTAATTAAGGTGATGAGTTATAATCAATAAATCAAAATTTTATGCAAAACAAGTTAATACAAAACGGGAATACTCGTCAGTATAGGGTTTTGCTTCCAGGTTTTCAATGGTGGTCTAACTTAGATCGGTTCATGATTTCAAGAAATACTTGTTTCGTATTTGTTATGGTAGTAACAAAAGTAATAATATTGGGAATAATTAATAACAAGATTGGTCTATAGAATAAGAAGTATGAGAGTAGAATTAGAGATAAAACAAAAATATCTTGGAAGGTTGTATTAATTATAATGACGGGGGAAGATACATAATGGTTATTAAGAATGAAAGAATCCCAATGTGGCCTGAGATTAACAGAGATGTTGCACATAACTATTCAGTATACACAATTCGTGTTTCTTTGAGGTGATACAAATTGTTTCACCTAAATAAAGTAAGAGTAAGTAATCTTGTGCCTTTTGGTAGATTGCTAAGAACGTGTTGCACATTTGAGAGGGGATCTTCAGTTTTAATGTAATGTGTACAGTCAGTGGTAAAGTTTAGGGATTTTAAAAGACTTTATAGCGCTTTTCCCTAAACATGGAGGTATGTGTTCATGAGCGCATAAGGGTAAAGACCTTTGAGTACGACTAACATATTTAGTCCTACAAGAACAGTTAAAGTGATAAGTAGAAGTTGATGAACCCATCATTGGCGTCTTATTATTTATCTTCTTCATTAATGTAGAACTTGTCGAGAAAGTTCCTTGTATTTTAGCGCCGTTAATAGTCGTTTTAATAGATTTATTAATTCGAAGTGTTAAAATTTCAGTTGCTATATCAACTCTGAATTAAAGTTTTAAGTATAGAGTTTTATTTTTCAACCGTCGGTTAACCGCTTTTCGCAGATAATTAGTGCATCACCTGAGAAGTGGCAGTAGTATGACAGTTTATATTTCAAACAAATTCGTTCCCAAATGGTAATCAATAAGCTATTCACATACTTAATTCATGAAAGAAGCATTTCAATTAACGGATTCGTTGTAATAGATCCATTTCGTAACTTTTTATTTTTTTTTAATTTTAGGCATTTGATGTTAATGGACCACAGTCTCAAGAACTAAATGTTTTTGTTGTTACCTTTTTAATGATTATTATGAATGATATTTTCGTGTGTTTACAAATCATTCCAAGTAATGAATACCAGAATGTATAACATTTAGATTCATAGGTTTATACCAGTTGACGTTAATCTCATTTATACAAAGGAGAATTAATTCTTTAAGCTGTTAGATACAGTTTCTTATAACAACCATGAAAGATCGTTTAAAATACAATAGAGAGTTATCTAATTCTGATGGCTTCGAACAAATAAAATAATGTTTTTGTATTCTATAAATATTCTATTACAAATCAACTATTTTTACGAGATTTG